GTTTGCGCTGAGAACAATAAATGTTTTATTTACACGGTATAATTAACGTATACAGAGTAAATACTAGATAGCTTAGCGATCAAGAGTTTTTTTTTTTATTTTATACAATTTTTATTTAAAACGTAGAGATTTGAGAATCGCCAGACAGAATTTAAAAAAGTAAATATCTTCTCTCGACCGTGCTGGCAAATATTATTTATTAAATCACAACGTTTCGACTCTTCTTTGAGTCCTTATCAAGTGAATTTTTATTCAAATAAATAGAGAAATAACGCATGCGGGTAACTTTTAATTAGAAACAAATATTTTTTTTAATAATAACATCAAGATGAAAAATTACAAAAGATATTATATCTTTCATGCATCTTCGTCGGAGGAAATAAATGATTTATTCTCGTACGCGATATAATTAATGTCTACAGTGAATATTAGAAGGTAGTAGGTAGGTTAAACAAATATTTTTAATATATTTTAACAATATACATTTTTTATATTTAAATAACGCACTTTTGATTAGAAATAAATATTTTTAACAATAAATTCAAGATGAAAAATTGCAAAATATATTGTATCGTTTTAGTATCGCTAACATATCTTTTATGCATTTACGTCGAGGGAAATAAATGACTTATCCACGTACACGGTATAATTAATACCTAGAGTGAGTATTAAAGGGTTTAGCAATCGAAAAATATTTTTAATATTGTTCAAGAATGTATAAAACTAATATTTAAATAAGTAAAAAAATAAGATTTTTTTGATTAAAAATAAATATTTTTAATTATAAAGTCAAAATAAAAAATTGCAAAAGATATTGTGTATATCGCTTTAATATTACATTAATATCGCTAATATATCTTTCATGCATCTACGTCGAGGGAAATAAATGACTTATCCTCGTACGTGGTATAATTAATGTGCAGAGTGAGTATTAGAAAATTTAGCGATCTAAAAATATTTTTAATATATTTTAATAACGTATAACGCTGTTATAATTATAAATAAATAGAAAATTAACACTCTTCTGATTAAAAATAAATATTTTTAATAATAAAATTAAAAAATTGCAAACCATATTGAAATAAAAGAATGGTGCATTTTTAAATAATTTTATTATTAATTAATTTAAAAATGCATATGGTTTAATTAAACAGACGTTGCCTACCCATCTGTTTAAACAAAAATTTTATGTAATTTTTAAAAAGTATTCTATATTTTAATTCAATATAATTTTTATAATTTCTTAATAACATCGCATACGTATCGAAATATATTTTTACAAGAAAAACTTCACGATTTCTTATAAGGTAAAAATGTCAAGCTAAGCTTTAAAAAATGGACTTTTAGTTTCTAACACGAGCTAAAATTTCTTCATTAAGCAAAGAGATACTCTGAGAGAGAGAGAGATATATAACGTTCCGACTACTCATCCGGATATGAAAATTGATATTTGTCTCTACAAACTTTTGTAAACGTAACATTTGCACTTAGCCAATAATTATTTCTAGAGAACCCGGGATATATTCTCTACAATTTTAGAAAATTAATTAAAATTTTTCATTCCTCCCCCTTAAACATAGTCTCTCCCTTTCTCTTTTTCCTGCAATGAGATGGTAAACGCGAAGGCAAATTATACGAAAGTAGCACTTCTCTCTTTCTCTCTCTCTCTCGAAATTCTTTAGTGCCGGTCGATTATGGGGTCGGGGGATTTTAATTTGCGAGGAAGAATTTCGACAAAAAGGCGTCGCGCCGTTTCCAGAACCCAGATCGCCGCCCCCGATATCGGACCTGGACGACCATTAGACCCAGGGTGAACGCTTTCGTGCCCAGAAGAAGGCAGGGGTGAGCGCCGAGGGGGTTGATTTTGCGAGAGACCGCAGAGAGAGCGAAAGAGAGAGGGAGGTTCCGCAGGCATTATGTGTGATCCGAATCTCGGTATTATTCTATAATCTATTCCGCGGGCGAGAGAGATGATAGCGTTGGCGGTGGCGGTTAGGCTCTCGGTTGCATGCCGACCCCGAATGGTGGTAGCGAATGGTGATGGTGGTGGCTCGTTCGACCTGCACGCCAACACGCCTGCCCGCCCCATCATCAATAAGCATCCCCTTTGCGCTCCGGCGAGTCTGTATGCACGCGCGTCGAATCGCCGTCTCTCACTCTCTTCGCAGAGAGAGAGACTCTGCACTCTGCGTCGAGTTACGCATCGCGTTACACTGCTGTGAACTCGCCACGCGATATATGCAGCTCTCTCAGTATGTTCAGCCGAATGAACGCATCGCCAGCTTCTCGGCTATGATCAGCGTCTGAGCGATAAGAGAGACCAGCCGCCGCTCTTGTTACCGCATAATGCCGAGAGATGTCGGAAAAAAGAGAGAGAGAGAGAGAGAGAGACGGATTGTAAGCGAAGGGGATGAAGATGTGGCAGGATAACGAGCGGGACGTGAGAATTCGTTGATTTATGGAATTTGGAAGAAATATAGGTAGAATAGAGTCCTAAATAATCTGAGAGGCGCAATCGGTATCCCTTCCACGCTTCTCATGGCCGCCATGTTGGTCCCGTAACTGTTCATGTGACACATACATACATCTATAATAGTTGCTTTCCATTTACATCAAAACTCAGATAAATCTCACTTCTGTCTTCCTTCAATATCCATGAACAATACAAAATGCAAACAATACTTATTGCCGAATTAGAGAATGTTGCTCCATTTTTCAATTCGGTGTGATATTTTAGGTTGGGACTCTACACATTAATTGCTTTCCATTTCAACATCCATGCTATGCCAATTGCTTTCAACATCCATGTTAAAGAAAGACAGAAGTGAGATTTAGCTGAGTTTTGATGTAAATGGAAAGCAATTGATGTGTAAAGTCCTAATTTAAAATATCACATTGAATTGAAAAATGGAGCAATATTCTTCTAATAATGTATAAGTATTGTTTGTATGTTGTATTGTACACTGATGCTTAGAATTGTTTAGAATCATTTTTGGATCATGGTTTGCACACATAAGATCACTACGAAACCAACAGGCGGTCAGCCAATCAGCGAGCGAGACGCCGATCGCGCTTCGCTTTTTTAGGTTAGGATTACTCTAAAGTAGAATACACACATATATATAGTGTCTCTTAAACTGATTTGATATCAGTGTATTTTGTATTAGAAATAGGTATATAAACTACGATGCTAATATTAATAAACTCTTCTATTGATTTTTATTATCTCAAATATAGATTAGATATAAATAGAAACAGAATTATTCTTAAATTAAGCGTATTTACTATTAATATTTGTTTATGTTATAAATTTACAACTATATAATACGGAATATAAGAGATATTAACTGAAGAATGTAGAGAAAAAATTTTTTTATTTTATTTCCATTTAGTATTTAATTATTCATATTTTATATCAATTGAGTTAAATTTTTTAATCTAAATGTACATATGTCTATTATTAAACTCGGTGTTTAATATTATTAATTTTTGTGCCGTTCTAAATGTACTAAGAATTTTATGGATGCGAATATTAAGTTATTGTGCACTAATTTCTTTTTATAGCATTGTAAATAAACGGTTGATTTTTTGCTGATGTACAAAAAACAATAAATTTTATTTAAAAAAGGAAGCTGAAGAATGTAACTGACTAAACCAGATTTTCAAAGTGAGTCATAAATACCGCATATTGTCGTATTTTTGAGTATAAACAAATGCTTATGTTTATGTTCAAATGCATGATCGGTTTATCTTTTTTGTTGACGTAGCATTCTACATAAAAGACACAACCACACAGATAGTCGACAGTTTCAAACGATCGATAAAATATAACATAAAGTTATGGCTGAAATGGAAATCAGTAACTGTGATGTAAAAAATCATTCAAAAATTTACAGTTAAATTTTATTAAGCGCACAGTATGTTTGATAAAAACTTTAATACATACCGAGATTTCATTTCAAAATAATAAAACATATTTATAAGGAAAAATAAATCGGGGATATTCATAAAATTTTATTTTGTAAATTTCTTTAAGGTAATATACTTGAGAAAAAAAATATTTAGAAGAATATTTAAAATAAATCGAAAAAAGAGAGAAGGGAGATTAATTTATAAGTATCAAAATTAATTTTTCGATGTATTATACCATTTATAAAAGGCATTATATTCTAGTCTTTCGACTTATTTTCTGATATGTAATTTTCACGTTTGCTTTTACGATCACATGATATTCTTCAAATAGATATATCTGCAGCATTTTCGTATTATTCGCAATTTGCAAGCATTGCAGAGATGTTTGACAAATTATTGTGTTATTTCACTTGCAAGTATTAAGCGATATGTTAAAATTATGATTGTATAAATAAAATTAATTTTAAAATTTTTTAATTTTTACAAAGAAAATATTTAAACAAATATTTCGAATGATTATCCACGTAGACGCTCAAGTTTTTCAATGCTCATAAAAAAGATTTATCCATAGACTCAATAACACATTCCTTCGTTCGGAAACATATCCGGATGTAAGTGACTTGAGAGTGATGGATTGGCTGTTCGTGGTGCATACATTGAATTTTTCACACTTTAATCCAAAAGGTACTAGGCAATGGAGAGCTGGTAATACAGAAGGATATTTAGCATTATGCCTTGCTTTTAAACGAGCCATAGATATAGGTATAATACTTATTAATCTTCGAATTAAATAATTATCAATAATTTTATATCAGTATAATTACAGTCTAACATAATATTCGCACAATATTTATATCTCTCCTTCTTGATTAATTTTGACGAAACATTATTAATGTTTCTTTTTATCTCTATAAAGTCTGCTTATTAATATTTGAAATGACATACATTTTAAACTTCTTTATTTTTGCTAGCAAAGTCTTCGTAGTTCATAACTTGTTTATTTTTATAATGTATTCTATTTGTCCCTCGTATGTTATTTTCCTTCGTTGATATGACGTTCAAGATAAAGTATATAATAAAGGGAAAAATCATAGGCAGTCGACAGTCTCAAACGATCGACGAAATATAACGTAACATAATGGCTAACAAAAAGAAGAAGAGCAGTGCTTTGGATGTGAAGGAATCATTGGAGGCGGCAAAATTTATCGTTGAAAATGCGAAAGATGTAACGATCAACAAGGAGAATATCAAACATTTTAGAACGGCGGTACGTTTATCTAACTTCTTATAAAAATTTAAAACATTTATACGATTTGTTTACTTTTGGTTTAAATAATTTAAAAGTTTAGTCAAATTTTACTAGGTGCACAGTGTGTTCGATCACTTTAATTTCAATTAACTTAAGATCTTATTTCAAATTATAAAAAGCATATATACGTATAAAGAATGATAAAACGGGGATATATTTACCAAATTTTATTTTGAAAATTATATTCTTGATAGTAATATATATATATAAAATTAAGATTTTAAACAGAAAATTATATAAAACGAAAAGAAAAAAGATTTATTTCCAAGTTTACAAATTAATTTTTCAATATATAATATTGAAAAACTATGTTCTAGTTCTAGTTATTTGACTTATTTTCTGAGATACATTACCTCGTTTACTTTCACAATCAATTGCATGATATTCTTCAAACAAATATATAAGTAGTATAAAAAAAAAAACATTTTCGTGTTATTCGCGATTTGTATAAGTATTGCAGAAATATTTGACAAATCATTCTATTATTTTAATTGCTGCATTTAAACGATATTTTAATATTATCATTGTACAAATTTAACTGGCCATTTTGTTTAAAAAAAATCATCGTTAAAATAAGCATTTAAATTGTTTACGTAGCTAAAGATATTTTGTAATGAGAATAGAGAGAATAGAGAGAACAGTGAAATATTCTTAAATGCTTTCTTCCGACCGGAAGATTATCCGGATTTCACTGAAAAAACGGTGGATTGGCTGTTCGTGTTTCATACATTGAATTTTTCACTCTTCTATCCAAAAGGCACTAAGCAATGGCAAGCTGGTGATTCAGATGGATATAATGCATTAAGTTTTGCTATCAAACGAGCTATAGATGTAAGTGCAATACTCCTTCGTATTAGAATGATATTGCATGCACAACTTTAATTTATATCACTCATCCGTTATTAGTTTTGATGAAACATCCCTAAAGTTTATTTTTATCATAAAGTCAATTTGTTTATATTTTAAAATGTCATATTTTTTTGTTTTTTGCCAACAAATCATTCGTCAGTTTTGTAGTTTTTAACCAATTTATTTCTCACAATAATATATCCTAATTATCATCTTTTACATGTTTCAAATTATTAAAAAATATTTTACAATATGTCAATCTTAATATTATTTTAAAAAATATGATACTTGTGCAACTTTCTATATTTTTACGTACATATTGTAAATTTCTTAGATACTAATTTAAAATACATTGAAACATATATTTCTATATAATTTTTCTGAAGAATATAATACATTTCAAACTTCAAATAATTATGATGAGCAATTATAAAAATACTTTAAATATACAAGTCCTATTAGATACATCGTCTTTGTTTATTTATATAAAATATAAAAATAAAATTGTTTTATATTTTTATTTGTTTTAGATAAGAAAGTAAATTTTGTTTAGATTAATTATTTGTACACAGGGCACGATCTTTCTTAATCTGACAAATAAACAAATTTCAATTTGAGATTTTTGATGTACTATCTATCCTTATTGAAACTATATCTACAATTTGGGGATTGTTTTTATTTTTAGCTATACCTATCTATTTTCCTTAAATACTTTGAGACGAAAAAAAATATTGGGGCAAAGTCGCTAAATATTTCCCCCGATATATTTCTCGCTTTTGATTTTTTAAAACGGATAGACAGATATAGCTAAAAATTCTCCATTTAAAAATATAGCTTCAGAAAAGATAAAGGGTTTTAAAAAAATCTCGATTTAAAATTGATTTACTTTATAGTGTCTGACTAATTTTAAGAAAAATTGTGGCGGTGTGCAAATAATTAGTTTCGACGAATATTGTTTCTTCCTTAAAACAGACGCACTATTATTGGCGCATGGCTTTCATTTGTTTAAATATTAATATTAGATTAAATTTAAATGTTTGTAAAGAGCCTTATTAAAATTTCAGTATTTAAAATAATTTTATTCCTAAAATCTATGTCTGGCTCTTATTATAATTATCTTTATTCCTGAAATGTTTTTATATTGTTTATATATATATATATATATATATATATATATATATACAATAGAAGATTCTTTTTCAATTTAATATTCTATATAATGCTGGTTATAGGAAAAAAAACCTTTATGGGATCCCAAATATTACTCAAAACTAACAGAAAGTGAGTTGAAACATATTTTCCGCAGTGACGATGGCGAAACTACCATCCCACTTCTAAACAAAAGACGTATGATTTTACATGAGGTTGGAAACGTTTTACTAAAAAAATATAAAGGTACAAATTATAAAATTATGGGAAAAAAATGTTTGTTTCAAGACATTTTATCGTAATCGATGTAACAGGACTCGCTCAGAACAAATTCTCTGTTACTTGAGAAAAGAAAAAAAAATATATTTCTGGAAATTCGATTAGATGTAGATGTTATAAACAATATATGTTTTACATTCACAAAAATGTATATAATTATTACTAAAATAGTAGATATATGATTAATATCGTTACAGGCACTTTTAAAAATTGTGTCAAAAAAGCGAAGTATAATCAAGACAAATTGGTGAAATTACTTTTCGATGAATTCGAACCATATCGAGACGAAGCAAAATACAAAAATAAAACAGGTAATTATTGATGATAGTATTACAGAGAAGGTTGCGAATTATACACACCGCGATATCAAACAACGAAAAAAATCAGTAATATTAAAATATAATAACATTAAATGTTTGTGTAACAATAAATTGATTAATAATTTAATGTTCATACTTTGAGGCGAATATTTTATACTATATTATTCATAGACATATTTGAATATATTTATTGTAGACGTATTTAAACATATTTGTTTATAAACGTCAGTAAAAATTGCTCTCTATGTTACGAGACATTTTTATTTTTCAAGATTATTTTAGAAACAAAAAAATTTGTACAGTATAATTTTTAATATTCTATTTAGTTGACATTTTCGTCAATTAATGTATGTTATACAAATATACTTGCAATTTTTATAATAAAATAGTTTGAATAATTTAGCAGTTTTTGTATATTATTTAAAAATATTAATCTGTTAATATTATATACCTTTATTTAATTATTTTTTAGTTCGTTTGTATACCAAAGCTAATTCACTAATAAAAGACATATGGGCATGCTATAAGAAAAAGAATATGTTTCATCTAAACGAAGAAAAAATGATGTCTACAATATTTATTGACTATCGTAGTCCTATAGTACTCTTTTATTTTGGAATTCTTACGTATAGTGATAAGCTTCTGCGGAAATTCACAAATAACAGTAAGATATTTAATATATTAAATAACTTTTTACTAGCGACAAATCCTAAATTTTTATCAATTCTTTTATTCTACGAATTTATACGTATTACGTTTTGATATTTATACTTGTATATTTATATGTTTTTCCTTCATAAAGCATGAAGTATTATAATGAACACATTATAAACTTCTACTGTACTTTAAAACATGAACAATTCTCTTTGCTAAAAAAATTATATCTATATACTGTTATATTATATCTATATTACTTTATTTATTCATACAACATAAAGATTTGCCATGTCTACCTTCAAAACTAATTTCTCTAAAAATACTTTTATTTAAAATAATTATTAATTAAATTGCGAACTTATTTTGCAAGAGAAGGTTTATAAATCTTATTTATTTGCCCGCACAAGGATGAATCGAGAATAAGAGCAATAAAAATAGGGAAACTATTCACATGATTATATGAGTAGATAAAAAATTAATTTGTAGGTGTTATTAATTTATGTCTCTCAAATTTGTAACAATATTGATAATATATTCTTTGCATGACAGTTTGCATTTAGAAAACTTTATTGTCGAATACTTTGCTGTAATTAATTTTGTTCTATGTATATCCACAGAGATCACTTGCGTTTTCATTTAATTATAACATACTGCATTTCTTTCACAGACCAACCGCTGAAACATGGAGACAGGGAAGAACTTGAGATACGCGCTTGCTCCCTTATAGCAGTTAATGAAATATTCGAACAGATCAAAGTGGAATGGAATCAAATAAATCCAGAATACGATCGTTGCATATCGATTATTATTGACAATTTCTTGCTTCTATATATAGCTGAATATTTTCATAAATATGTGTATATGTATGATCAGTATCCATTCCATTATATTACATCTGTACACTATTAGAAATATAAAAATATAATATATCTTTACTTGATAATTATGTGGTGATACTTATATAATATTTATATTTTATCGATTGAGATGCATGTGTTTTAATATAATTTTAATTTAAAAAAAAATTTCTTACCAAAACAAAATATTTTACATATAATAATATATAATTATTTCGAAATATATAAAATTATACATATAATCGCAAAAATATATATATGAAATATGTCCATACATAATTAGATAAAATGCTTCTTATATATAATTATATAAATTTATATATATATATATATATATATATATATATAATAAATAATTATTTTTTATATACATATATTAATATATATGTTTCATATATTCTTCATATACATATATGAAAATATATATTTCATATATAATTAAACATGATTATCTATAAACCCTTATAATATATATATATATATTTTATATATAATTATTGATATATATTTTACATATTACTTTACGAATATATGTATAATTATATAATAATTTATATATAATTATATACAAAAAATTTTTTACCGAGCTTTCTCATTATAATACAAATATTATTGATAAGTTTGATAAGAATTTGACAAATGCATATAACAGAAATGTAATGTACATATAAAATACAATGATATTTTAATTAATTTCCACTTTGCTGATTACATATTAGAACGAGTATAGAATGTAATACTTTTGCATAATTTTCCTATACTTTGTTTTTAACAGCTTATTTTTAAATTTAAGAATTTATATTTGTAATTTAAGTTTTAAATTGAAACTGATTTCAATAAACGATTACAAATGCATATGAGAAAAGATTTTTTTCTCTAACATTTTATTATATATATATATATATATATATATATATATATATATATATATAACACATATACATATATACAATTGCTTTTTCTACTTAATGATATTTATATTTTATTAATAATGCAAAAGTTTTAGAATATTATGTATTACATTGTCTTTTATAATTAGCAACGTGCAAAATTAATTATTTCAATCCTTAAATTTTGCGTGTGATATCATTTAATGTTCTAATTTAAATGCGATTTCTAGTTTTATAACACTTTTATTTGATATCGATATTTCTAAACGTTATTCTTACTTTTTATAACGTTATTTTTTTAGTTTAATCTTATTTAATATAACGCATCAAAATATATGTCTTTAATAAACATAAATGATACGAAATGTATTTTTCTGTAATCTTTTGTATTTTATTTTAGATTTTTTTAAGATTAAAGACACGAAAGATACTCTAATGCCTTTTTTCTAAACTCCGCATATCATCTTAACAGAATAACACATAATGCTAACATATAAATTTATTTCTCGGTTGTTATAATGAATACTGTGTCCACAGTTTTAAGCTTTTCCTCCATAATTGATAATGTTTTTATAGATTATTAGCAAGTATAAAATTAAACATTTATAGCAACTGAATTATTCTTAAATTCTTAATGTATATAATATAATAATAATATAATAAAAATAATTAATAAAGAATACAATTAAAAAATTACATATTTTTCTAGAAATGACTCGAAAACGTTAGATTGGCTGTTCGTGCTTCATATATTGAATTTTGCACTTTTTAAAAGACATTAATCGATGGACATCTGGTAACAGAAAGATATTTAGCATTATTCTTAGCTATTAAACGAGCTATAGATATAAGTATAATACTTATTTATCATCGAATGACATAATAACCAATAATTGTATATTGTTGCATCAGTATAAAATTACAGTCTAACATAATATTCGCACAATATTTATATCTCTCCTTCTTGACTAATTTTGACAAAACATTATTAATGTTTAATTTTATCTCTATAAAATCTGTTCATTGATATTTGAAATGACATACATATTAAACTTCTTTATTTTTACCATCAAAGTTTTCGTAGTTCATAACTTGTTTATTTTTATAATATATTCTATTTGTCCCTCGTGTGTTACTTTCTTTCGTTGATATAACATATGACATTCAGTCTAAAGTATATAATAAAAGTAAAAATCGCAGGCAGTCGACAGTCTCAAACAATCGACGAAATATAACGTAACATAATGGCTAACAAAAAGAAGAAGAGCAGTGCTTTGGATGTGAAGGAATCATTGGAGGCGGTAAAATTTATTGAGAAATATGCAATAGACGTATGGATCGACTTGGAGAAACTCAAAAAATTTGCAAATTCGGTATGTTTATCTAACATTAGTTATAAAATTCTTGAACATTTATACTATTTGCTTTCTGTTTTAATAATTCAAAAATTTCAAGAATTTATTAAATTTTTAATAGGCGCACAATGTGTTCGATCACTTTAATTTCAATCACCTTAAGATCTTATTTCAAATTAATACAAGCATACATACAAACAATGAGAAACAGAGGAAATATCTGTCAAATTTTATTTTGTAAATTTAATTTTTAGGACTAATATGTCTAAAAATTACATATTTTAATTAAAAAATTACATCAAAAGAAAGGAGAAAAAGATTTATTTCCAAATTTACAAATTAATTTTTCAATATATAATATTGAAAAACTATGTTCTAGTTCTAGTTATTTGACTTATTTTCTGAGATACATTACCTCGTTTACTTTCACAATCAATTGCATGATATTCTTCACACAGATATATAAGTAGTATAAAAAAAAAACATTTTCGTATTATTCGCGATTTGTATAAGTATTGCAGAAATATTTGACAAATCACTATATTGTTTTACTTGTTGCAATTAAACAATATTTTAAAATTATTATTGTACAAATTTAATTAACGTTTCTTGTTTAAAACACTCTTCTTCTAAAGAATATAACGTTAAAATAAGCATTTAAATTGTTTATGTAGATAATAAGGTTTTTGACCGAAAATAAAATAAATCAAATGAAAAAACTCTTAAATACTTCCTTCCGTCCGAAACACTATCCGAATTTCACTAAAGAAACGGTGGATTGGCTGTTCGTGTTTCATACATTGAATTTTTCACTCTTCTATCCACAAGGCATTAAGCAATGGCGAGCTGGTGATAAAGATGGATTTTATGCATTAAGTTTTGCTATCAAACGAGCTATAGATGTAAGTGCAATACTCCTTCGTATTAGAATGATATTGTATGCACAACTTTAATTTATATCACTCACCCGTTATTAGTTTTGATAAAACATTTCTAAAGTTTATTTTTATCATAAAGTCAATTTGTTTATATTTTAAAATGTCATATTTTTTTTGTTTTTTGCCAACAAAGCATTCGTCAGTTTTGTAGTTTTTTACCAATTTATTTCTCACAATAATATATCCTAATTATCATCTTTTACATGTTTCAAATTATTAAAAAATACTTTATAATATGTCAATCTTAATATTATTTTAAAAAATATAATACTTGTGCAACATTCTATATTTTTACGTACATATTGTAAATTTCTTAGATACTAATTTAAAATACATTGAAACATATATTTCTATATAATTTTTCTAAAGAATATAATACATTTCAAACTTCAATTTATTATGATGAGCAATTATAAAAATACTTAAATATACAAGTCCTATATGATACATTGTCTTCGTTTATTTATATAAAATATAAAAATAAAATTGTTTTATATTTTTATTTATTTCAGATAGGAAGTAAATTTCGTTTAGGTTAATTATTTGTACACGGGGCACGATCTTTCTTAATCTGACAAATAAACAAATTTCAATTTGAGATTTTTGATATACTATTTATCCCTATTGAAACTGTATCTACAATTTGGGGATTATTTTTATTTTTAGCTATACCTATCTATTTTCCTTAAATACTTTGAGGCAAAAAAAAATATCGCAGCAAAATCGCTACACAAACAAATTTCAATTTGAGATTTTTGATATACTATTTATCCCTATTGAAACTGTATCTACAATTTGGGGATTATTTTTATTTTTAGCTATACCTATCTATTTTCCTTAAATACTTTGAGGCAAAAAAAAATATCGCAGCAAAGTCGCTAAATACTTTCCCCGATATATTTGTCACCTTTGATTCTTTAACACTCAGGTATAGCTAAAAATTCTTCAATTAAAAATGCAGCTTCAAAGGAGATAAATGGTTTAAAAAGATCTCGATTTTAAATTTATTTATAGTGTCTGACTAATTTTAAGAAAAATCGCGGCGGTGATCAGTGTGCGAATAATTAGTTTGGACGAATATTATTTCTTCCTTGAAACAGACGCACTATTACACGCGTATGGCTTTCATTTGTTTAAATATTAATAGATTAAATTTAAAAGTTTGTCACATAAAAAGTTTCATTAAAATTTCAGTGTTTAATATAATTATATTCCTAATATCTGTGTCTGACTCTAATTATAATTATCTTTATATTTAAAATACTTTTATATTGTGTTTATATTATATATATATATATATAATAGGAAATTCTTTTTTAATTTAATATGCAATATAATGCTTGTCATAGAACGAAAAGCCTTTATGGGATCCCAAATATTACTCAAAACTGACACTAAATGAGTTGGAAGATATTTTCCGCAGTGACGATGGCGAAACTACCATTCCACTTCTAAACGAACGACTTACGGCTTTACATCAGATTGGAAACGTTTTACTCGAAAAATATAAAGGTATAAATTATGAAATTGAGTAAAAAAGAAATTTTCATTGTAAAACATTTTATTGTAATCGATGTAACAGAACTCGTTCACAACCAATTCTCTGTTTCTTGAGAAAAGAAAAAAGAATCTCGTGTCTGGAAATTCAATTAGATGTAGACGTTATAAACAATACATGTCTTACATTTACAAAAATGTATATAATTCTTATTAAAATAATAGATATATAATTATTATCGTTACAGGCACTTTTAAAAACTGTATTAAATCAGCGGAATATAATTCAGACAAATTGATAAAATTACTTTTCGATGAATTTGAACCATATCGAGACGAAGCAAAATACAGAAATAAAACAGGTAATTATTGATGATAGTATTACAGAGAAGGTTGCGAATTATACTCACCGCGATATCAAACAACGAAAAAAATCAGTAATATTAAAATATAATAAAATTAAATGTTTGTGTAACAATCAATTGATTAATAATTTAATGTTCATACTTTGAGGCGAATATTTTATACTATATTATTCATAGACATATTTGAATATATTTATTGTAGACGTATTTAAACATATTTGTTCATAAACGTCAGTAAAAATTGCTCTCTATGTTACGAGACATTTTTATTTTTCAAGATTATTTTAGTAACAGAAAATTTGTACAGTATAATTTTTAATATTCCATTTAGTTGACATTTTTGTCAATTAATGTATGTATGTTATACAAATATACTTGCAATTATAATAAAATAATTTAGATAATTTAGCAGTTTGTATATATTATTTAAAAATATTAACCTATTAATATTATATACTTTTATTTAATTATTTTTCAGTTCGTTTGTATACCAAAGCTAATTCACTAGTGAGCGACATATGGGCATGCTATAAAAAAAAGAATAGGTTTCATCTAAATAAAGAAAATATGATGTCTACGATGTTTATTGACTATCGTAGTCCTATAGTACTCTTTTATTTTAAAGTTCTTACGTATGGTAATAAGCGCCTGCAGAAATTCAAAAATAACGGTAAGATACTTATATAAAATAACCTTTTACTAATGACAAATCCTAAATTTTTATCAATTCTTTTATTCTACGAATTTTTACGTGTTACGTTTTAATATTTATACATGTATATATTTATATCTTGCGTTTTCAGTTAATTATAACATACTGCATTTATTTACAGATCAACCACTTAAACATGGAGACGCAGAAGAACTTGAGTTACGCGCTTGCTCTCTTCTCGCAGTTAATAAAATATTAAAACAGATTGAAAAAGAATGGCGTAACAAGTATCCAGAATATAATCGTCAAAACATATTGCTTCTGATTGACAATTACTTGCTTATGAATATAGCTTATCGTTTTGATAAATATGTTTGTGACCAGCATCCATTGCGTTATATTGAATCTGTGTACTATTAGGAATATAAAAATATAATGTAATATCTTTTCTTGATAATTGTGTTGTGATACTTATATGACATTTATATATTATCGATTGAGATGCATGTTTTAATATAATTTTAATTTTAAAACAAATTTCTTACCAAAACAAAATATTTTATATATAATAATATATAATTATTTCGAAATATATAAAATTATACATATAATCGCAAAAATATATATATGAAATATGTCCATACATAATTAGATAAAATGCTTCTTATATATAATTATATAAATTTATATATATATATATATATAATAAATAAGTATTTTTCATATACATATATAAATATATATGTTTCTTATATTCTTCACATATACATATATAAATATATATATATTTCATATATAATTAAACATGATTATCTATAAACCCTTATAATTTATATATTTTATATAATTATGGATATATTTCACATATAACTTTACGATTATATGTATAATTATATAATAATTTATATATAATTATATACAAAAAATTTTTTACCAAGCTTTCTCATTATAATACAAATATTATTGATAAGTTTGATAAGAATTTGACAAATGCATATAACAGAAATGTTGTGTACATATAAAATACAATGATAATTTAATTAATTACCACTTTGCTGATTACATATTAGAACGAGTATAGAATGTAATACTTTTGCATAATTTTCCTATACTTTGTTTTTAACAGCTTATTTTTAAATTTAAGAATTTATATTTGTAATTTAAGTTTGAAATTTTTTTATTACTGTTTTCTGCGGCAAACTGATTTCAATAAACGATTACAAATGCATATGAGAAAAGATTTTTTTCTCTAACATTTTATTATACAATATATATATATATATATGTATAACACATATACATATATATAATTGCTTTTTCTACTTAATTATATTCATATTTTATTAATAATGCAAAAGTTTTAGAATATTATGAATTACATTGTCTTTTATAATTAGCAACGTGCAAAATTAATTATTTCAATCCTTAAATTTGGCGTGCGATATCATTTAATGTTCTAATTTAAATGCGATTTCTAGTTTTATAACAGTTTTATTTGATATCGATATTTCTAAACGTTATTCTTACTTTTTATAACGTTATTTTTTTAGTTCAATCTTATTTAATATGACGCATCGAAATATATGTCTTTAATAAATATAAATGATACGAATTGTATTTTTCTGTAATCTTTTGTATTTTATTTTAGATTTTTTTAAGATTAAAGACACGAAAGATATACTAATGCCTTTTTTCTAAACTCCGCATATCATCTTAACAAAATAACACATATTACTAACATATGAATTTATTTTCCGGTTGTTATAATGAATACTGTGTCTACAGTTTTAAGCTTTTCCTCCATAATTGATAATTTTTTTATAGATTATTAGCAAGTATAAAATTAAATATTTATAGCAACTGAATTATTCTTAAATTCTTAACGTATATAATATAATAATAATATAATAAAAATAATTAATAAAGAATACAATTAAAAAATTACATATTTTTCTAGAAATGACTCGAAAACGTTAGATTGGCTGTTCGTGCTTCATATATTGAATTTTGCACTTTTTAAAAGACATTAATCGATGGACATCTGGTAACAGAAAGATATTTAGCATTATTCTTAGCTATTAAACGAGCTATAGATATAAGTATAATACTTATTTATCATCGAATGACATAATAACCAATAATTGTATATTGTTGCATCAGTATAAAATTACAGTCTAACATAATATTCGCACAATATTTATATCTCTCCTTCTTGACTAATTTTGACAAAACATTATTAATGTTTAATTTTATCTCTATAAAATCTGTTTATTGATATTTGAAATGACATACATATTAAACTTCTTTATTTTTACCAGCAAAGTTTTCGTAGTTCATAACTTGTTTATTTTTATAATATATTCTATTTGTCCCTCGTGTGTTACTTTCTTTCGTTGATATGACATATGACATTCAGTCTAAAGTATATAATAAAAGTAAAAATCGCAGGCAGTCGACAGTCTCAAACAATCGACGAAATATAACGTAACATAATGGCTAACAAAAAGAAGAAGAGCAGTGCTTTGGATGTGAAGGAATCATTGGAGGCGGTAAAATTTATTGAGAAATATGCACAAGACGTAAGGATCGACTTGGAGAAACTCAAAAAATTTGCAAATTTGGTATGTTTATCTAACATTAGTTATAAAATTTTTGAACATTTATACTATTTGCTTTCTGTTTTAATAGTTCAAAAATGTTAAGTAATTCAAAAATTTATTAAAATTTTAATGGGCGCACAATGTGTTCGATCACTTTAATTTCAATCACCTTAAGATCTTATTTCAAATTAATATAAGCATACATACAAAGAATGATAAACAGGGGAAATATCTGTCAAATTTTATTTTGTAAATTTAATTTTTAGGACTAATATGTCTAAAAAATACATATTTTAATTAAAATTACATCAAAAGAAAGGAGAAAAAGATTTATTTTCAAATTTTCAAATTAATTTTTCAATATATAATATTGAAAAACTATGTTCTAGTTCTAATTATTTGACTTATTTTCTGAGATACATTACCTCGTTTACTTTCACAATCAATTGCATGATATTTTTCACACAGATATATAAGTAGTATAAAAAAAAACATTTTCGTATTATTCGCGATTTGTATAAGTATTGCAGAAATATTTGACAAATCACTATATTGTTTTACTTGTTGCAATTAAACAATATTTTGAAATAATTATTGTACAAATTTAATTAACGTTTCTTGTTTAAAACACTCTTCTTCTAAAGAATATAACGTTAAAATAAGCATTTAAATTGTTTATGTAGCTAATACAGTTTTTGACCGAGAATAACATGAATCATACGAAAAGACTCTTAAATACTTCTATCCGTTCGGAACACTATCCGAATTTCACTGAAGAAACGGTGGATTGGCTGTTCGTGTTTCATACATTGAATTTTTCACTCTTCTATCCACAAGGCATTAAGCAATGGCGAGCTGGTGATAAAGATGGATTTTATGCATTAAGTTTTGCTATCAAACGAGCTATAGATGTAAGTGCAATACTCCTTCGTATTAGAATGATATTGTATGCACAACTTTAATTTATATCACTCACCCGTTATTAGTTTTGATAAAACATTTCTAAAGTTTATTTTTATCATAAAGTCAATTTGTTTATATTTTAAAATGTCATATTTTTTTTGTTTTTTGCCAACAAAGCATTCGTCAGTTTTGTAGTTTTTTACCAATTTATTTCTCACAATAATATATCCTAATTATCATCTTTTACATGTTTCAAATTATTAAAAAATACTTTATAATATGTCAATCTTAATATTATTTTAAAAAATATGATACTTGTGCAACATTCTATATTTTTACGTACATATTGTAAATTTCTTAGATACTAATTTAAAATACATTGAAACATATATTTCTATATAATTTTTCTAAAGAATATAATACATTTCAAACTTCAATTTATTATGATGAGCAATTATAAAAATACTTAAATATACAAGTCCTATATGATACATTGTCTTCGTTTATTTATATAAAATATAAAAATAAAATTGTTTTATATTTTTATTTATTTCAGATAAGAAGTAAATTTCGTTTAGGTTAATTATTTGTACACGGGGCACGATCTTTCTTAATCTGACAAATAAACAAATTTCAATTTGAGATTTTTGATATACTATCTATCCCTATTGAAACTATATCTACAATTTGGGGATTATTTTTATTTTTAGCTATACCTATCTATTTTCCTTAAATACTTTGAGGCGAAAAAAAATATCGCAGCAAAGTCGCTAAATATTTTCCCCGATATATTTGTCACCTTTGATTCTTTAGCAGTCAGGTATAGCTAAAAATTCTTCAATTAAAAATGCAGCTTCAAAGGAGATAAATGGTTTAAAAAAATCTCGATTTTAAATTTATTTATAGTGTCTGACTAATTTTAAGAAAAATCGCGGCGGTGATCAGTGTGCGAATAATTAGTTTGGACGAATATTATTTCTTTCTTGAAACAGACGCACTATTACACGCGTATGACTTTCATTTGTTTAAATATTAATAGATTAAATTTAAAAGTTTGTCACATAAAAAGTTTCATTAAAATTTCAGTATTTAATATAATTGTATTCCTAATATCTGTGTCTGACTCTAATTATAATTATCTTTATATTTAAAATACTTTTATATTGTGTTTATATTATATATATATATATATAATAGGAAATTCTTTTTTAATTTAATATGCAATATAATGCTTGTCATAGAACGAAAAGCCTTTATGGGATCCCAAATATTACTCAAAACTGACACTAAATGAGTTGGAAGATATTTTCCGCAGTGACGATGGCGAAACTACCATTCCACTTCTAAACGAACGACTTACGGCTTTACATCAGATTGGAAACGTTTTACTCGAAAAATATGAAGGTATAAATTATGAAATTGAGTAAAAAAGAAATTTTCATTGTAAAACATTTTATTGTAATCGATGTAACAGAACTCGTTCAGAACCAATTCTCTGTTTCTTGAGAAAAGAAAAAAGAATCTCGTGTCTGGAAATTCAATTAGATGTAGATGTTATAAACAATACATGTCTTACATTTACAAAAATGTATATAATTCTTATTAAAATAATAGATATATAATTAATATCGTTACAGGCACTTTTAAAAACTGTATCAAATCAGCGGAATATAATTCAGACAAATTGATGAAATTACTTTTCGATGAATTTGAACCATATCGAGACGAAGCAAAATACAGAAATAAAACAGGTAATTATTGATGATAGTATTACAGAGAAGGTTGCGAATTATACACACCGCGATATCAAACAACGAAAAAAAATCAGTAATATTAAAATATAATAACATTAAATGTTTGTGTAACAATAAATTGATTAATAATTTAATGTTCATACTTTGAGGCGAATATTTTATACTATATTATTCATAGACATATTTGAATATATTTATTGTAGACGTATTTAAACATATTTGTTTATAAACGTCAGTAA